GGAACAACAAAGTCGCACTGCAACAGGGGCCCTGGTCAATAGGAATCGCGTTTGGGTTCAATGAGGAATCAGCACTACCGGCGTAAATAACAATACTAACAATAATATAATAACAATAATAGTAATAATGATAATAATAATAACAATAATAATTAATAATAGTAATAATAATAATACCTGTTGGTCCAGAGTGTACAGACATGAAAACCAACGTTGGAGGCACCTCCGGTTTGACACGGTACCCGTGTGCTGAAGGCTTTGGGTTGATGAACCGCAAACCTTCATGGATGAGGTCGCAAGCCAAAACCCCTCATGAGAAACCTGTGAGGAACCCCCCTCATGAGTGTACTGAGCTAAAACTGTGTCCATGTTCGAGCGGCATCCTGAAAAATGGCCGGTTTCACATGAGAAACCTGTGAGGACCCCCAAAACGTGTGCTGAGTGTCCATTTTCGAGTGGCATCCTGAATGGCAGGTTTCAACTGGTGGCTGAAAGGAAAGCCCCACCTCCACGAATTCTGAGAACTCCAGGTAGCTGGAACCGCCCTCGCTCCCCGACTCCGCTGCCTCCTCCAGCACCCGCTCCCGGAGCTCAAAGATGCGGCCATCCAGCTGGCCTGCTCGACTCGTTGCTCGACTCCATCTCTCTCTCCCAGCTTTCTCATATGGGCATGGGTCAAAAGGAAACCAGGCATCGGACAGCTGTTCGTCCTTGTTTCCATTTGCCAGGGTTCAATTCTAAGTCCCTACTTTTTGACCCACACCCATACACAACATCCTTCGAACTCGCGAACGCAGACGGCGGTGTGCTTTCAGTGGCTCCTCATTCGCCTTGCCCCTAATTGATCCTTTGGTTTGGCTTGTTTGGACATAAGGTCGGGCAACTTCCCATTTGGGTGCAAAAGGAGCTGGGGTCAATCCAAACCACCAAATTGAGCGGTACCTGATAGAACGCACTTTGCGCATCCACTCTTCCATGGGAAAAACGAACAACTTTGATTCCGTGGCACCTTTCGAACATGTTGTGCCCATTGGACTGGGTCGCAGTATGCAAACCCCGACCTAAACGCAAGCGGGCCCGAGTTCCCAGATTGGATTCAAGTTCTGTAGGAAATTTGCCTACCTACAAAATGACAACCAGACGGTCTTCCTGCGTTGTCTGGCCAGAAATCATCTGCACGTGTCGGGCCCTTTTTTATGATGATGGAGACCTACTAACCAAAGATTCAATGCTTGCCAAGTCAACAGGTGAGCAGGTGTTTTGCGGCACTCGGTTTGCCTCCTAGCTTCTCGCCATTTGAGGTTCGCTTTGCAAAGTGGAAAGCATCAAAAAACGATGCCCGATTTTTTTTGTTTTGTTTCTGGTGGTACACTTGGATTTCCTAAAATGCATCTGGCGGCGAACAGGTCGCCTGCCCCAAACTAGGAACTCGTTTCATCTTCCCTCTAATTGGTGGCTTGGAATAATGTTGACCCCATATTTATCAACCCCAGTTTATTAATATGGGGGTGTTCCCCTCCAAAAGTGAACCAGGGACACGCCCATATTCATAAACAGGGGTTGATTCATATGGGGTCAAGATTCACAAGAAGCAGGGGTTCAAATCCCCAAACCACCAACTAAAAGTCACCTGTGAAACGAGAACCACAAGGGCAACCAGAAAGCCAGCCGTCGCCTTCTGCGTCGGTCTCGTACCAGGAGTTGAGGCCGTGGGGCCCAACAGGAGCTGTGGGCAGCAAGAACCTGCCAATCGGTTTACTCTCCGTGCGTCCTTTTGTTTTACCCTCGCCCTGCGAACCCTAGTAGGCCGCCATGAGCGTTCCTTTGGCGCCGTACGCGTGCGTTGGCGCGCGGCCGGGTTGACCCTCTGTGGAAGTGGACAATCGAGGGGTTTTCCCCACAAAGGAAGGTCGTCGTTCAAAAGCCTCCTGGCAACCTGTTTTGTTGGAGGACAAGGGAAGAGGAAGCAGCCACACCCTTTGAGTGTAGAACGCGTCTTTTCATGGGCCCCAGGTTCTGTTGATGCTCTCTCGCAATTTGGGGTCAAGAAGGCATGCATGCGTGGACTCCCTAACCCACGGCGGTCTGTTTGCGCCAGTGTTGCGCAGCACCGTCAGGAACGTTCATGCTGAATTTCGCTCTCGGCTTCCTTCAATCAGGTCCAGGGTATGTCTGTTTTGAGGGTTCCTTTGTTGGGGGGGTGTTGCATGGCAAACCAAAAGGCAAGCCACCCATCGAGGTGCCCCGATTTTGAGACAAACCCAGGTGTCACACGTGTCGCCAAAAATTTGCTGCTGGCCATGGAGGCTGCTCTCGAGCCTCGCTAAAAATCGTTGCTTGGCCTTGCGAGGTGTTGGATACTTGATATGCCCTGACAGGTGGCCATGTTCATCCCTACAAGCAGTCAGCCGTGGCAGAAGGGTAAGCTTTGGCTTTCTGGATATGAGGGCGTCGACCAGAAGGCATCACCCCAGTTTGAACCTTTGGCTGTTGCCAAATGAAATCGCCTTCCTTGCAAGATTTGAACCCCCCAACCAAGAAAAAGAAGGAACGTGGCCATTTTGGAGAGATGCTCGACAGGAGGAACGCCCACAAAACCAACCCCAAGCCCCCACGAAGTGGACTCGACTCGACAAAACCGCCCGGCCTGGTCGCTGGCAGGGCCTCGGCCAGCTGCGCTGCTAACGGCTCCAGGCTCTCTGCGCCTGAAAATGGGCGGCCCCAAGCACCTTCCCCCCCGCAACAAAAGGCCGACTGCCTGTTGTCGGTTGGATGGAAAAGTCTCAGAGGCCTAGACTATTTTTTTGCAGCTTGCTGAAGGGCCAGAAGGCGAAATTTGGTCACACCAAAGTCCAGCCATGGGAATGGACCGGTATCCGCAGGCGAAAACCGCCTTGAAAGCTTCTCTGGGCTTCTTTGAGACACGCCAATATGAGAAATGTCCAGACCAGTGGCACCCTTAAGAATGCTAGCTGCCTGTAGATTGAGCCCCTATATATATATATATATATACATATATATATATATATGTATATGTCTATAAATGGACCGCAACATACTGTGGCTTTCATTTAAGACACCTGCCAAAACCAAGCAGAAGAGGACAAGAGATGTTGACGTCAGCTCCAAGCTCCGAGAAAAAGCACGCAACGCCCCTGCCCCATGTCCTCTGCTTCTGACTTAACCTTCTCCACCACTTTCCCCCCCCCTCCCGCCCTCCCTCCTGCACCCCAACTACCCCGACCCAGTCCCGACCACCCCAACCATAGTGTTCCATATTTTTCCCCTCCTTGTCAAAAGGAAGCTCACTTCTTCTGGCAACCTACAGGTGACACGGAACCAAGCAAATCTGCTTAATTTGTGGGCATATTCCAACGAATCAGCACATCATGTTTGCAACCAACATCTTGACCCATCAAAGCGACATCCTCCAATAAATGATGGAAATGAAAGCGGCTTCCTACCGTGCCCCAACAGAAAAGAAGAAGAAAAGAAAAACGCAAACATGTTCATGGATGTCTTTTTACCTGGCCTCACCCATTTTCGCTGGGGCGTCCGCCCCCGCCCGCATTTGCCCGGACGGCTCCGAGCCGCGAGCCGACCCCTCGCCCGAGCCGAGCCGCGGTCCCCGCGGCCGTGCAGCAGCACCGCCAGCGAGGCCGCCGGGCTCCGCAGCGGCCCAAAGCCCCGGGTGTCGCGCAGGGCCAAAGCCATGGCTGGCGCGGCCCGCCATGGCAACAGGTGTGGTGGGGGGGTGGCTGGCTGGCTGGCTGGGCGGGTTGGGTGGGTGGGTGGGTGGTTGGGTGTCCAAAACAAAAATAAGATGTAATTGCAATTTGAAGAGTTCGTGGACGGCAAAATGTAGAACATTTCACCGAGATCCCAACAATCGCAACTGCCTGTGGGCTGGGCTTAGGCTTGATGAAATGGGCGATAGAGAACGTACGAACATCGCCAAAAATGCACGATAGAGTGGGTCTGCTGGTACAAAGTCCAGCTGCGGAATCTTCTCTAGCGCTATTGACCTCAGGGAGGACTGAGCAGGCAGCTCGAGTTGGGGATCCACTTACAACCTTACGTGCCCGCATCGTTTCTATTTTGAGATCCGTAGTAATCCCATGCTCGTTGCTCATGAAATAAGGGCCAAGGCAAGCATTGCCTTGTTTGCTTGAACCAAACCTTGCTCATTTGCTCTTCGTGAAAAGCCAGCCAGTCATCTGGACTTTGGTCAAAGAAAAACGCAGGCGGAGCTTGCGTGCGGCGGATCGTGATAGTGCCTGAGATTCGCCTTTTGTCCTCGGATTCCAGGGGCATACCACAGACCCATCCTAAACAATTGCTTGACATCAACAGGATGCATGTCAAATGCAACACTCTAAGCCCGGCCCATGCAACAGGGCCTGATCAAAACATGCAGGGCTGCAACAGGGCCTGATCAAAACATGCAGGGCATGAGCAATCTAAATCGGGTTGGAATCTGAGGGGCGAATCACGCAGAGAACATCAGCTCTACGGCCTCCGAGGCGTGCCCGAATGGGGGAGGGAGGTCGAGCCGGTGCTGGGCCGTGTTGGAAAATGAAAATAAGAACCTCCCAAGCAAGTCGTCATAGGGACCGAGCTCGTTTAACCCAAAACTCATGAGTTTCACGATTGGATCATTCCGACCTTTGACATGTGGATTCGACGTCCTTTGCAAACCGATCGAAGGGAGCCTTCAGCTGATGGGAGGTACATGGCTTCATCGCCGAAGACCCTTGGCTAAGTTGTGTATCTTGATTCTAGACCGAAAGGTCCAAGAACACAATTGATGCCGACGTTCCATCTCGCTTCAAGTTGTTCGGATTCCAGTCGCGAAACAAAAAGCTTTGTGAGGTCAACATGTGTCTCGGGCATGTGCCGAAACCAGCGAACGCCAAACAGCGCTTCCGCTTTTCCCCACAAACCAACCCCCAAAAGGCGACCCTCGCAAAAAAACAACCCTCGGGTTGGTCATCTCTTGCCTGCTCGGCGGCTCCGGCTTTCGCCTTGGCTTCACAAGCTGCCTGACATATTTTGCCATTTGGGCGTCTCTGTTTTAGGGGACCCACCCGGACCCACCCCCCCAAAACAAAAAAAGGTTTTTCCGAGTGGTGTCCTGTTAGAACCAAAAAGGGTTGTTTCCAAAAAAAGACACACCCATGTGGGAAGGGCCAATGTGTAGACCTCAAAACAGCTTCGCCGAAAACCGATTTGTTCGCTCAGAACCTCGCAACAAGTGGCAAAAAATTGGATGACCCCAAGTGAGCTGCTGGTGTCTGTTTGTTGGAACCCATTTAGGTGCCCTGTCAAAAACTCCTCTCAAAAAACAAAAAACACGGATTCTCACAATGGCTATGGAAATCCCGTGCTTGCCCAAAGGTCACTCTCGGAGTGCTGCAATCTAAGGTCTGGCAGAGGCCCCGCCAGCACGAGTTGCTCGGAACCAGGGCGATAGCCACGATGAATGCAGGCATGCACACATGCAAGCCAGCAAGCATACAAACAACCCAAAAAACCAATCCGGGGAAAATCAAAAAGCAACAGAAACAAACCCCGACAAAGCAGAGCAAGGCAAATCCCAAAACACAAACCGCATGTCCCAAAATAACGTGCGCCTGCATGATAAGCCGGTGAGAATGTTGTACAAGCTGCCACCAACATGGTACTCGCTGTTATGTGTCCTAGTCTCCCCACTATGCACAGGGGGACCAGCTGGATGGTACCCATTTGGGTCGCTGGCTACATGTTGCAGAATATGCTGCAAAGTCGATATGTTTACACAGAGAGAGAGAGAGAGAGAGCGCGCTGCAAGCTTAGACTGCTTGTGTACCCCTGACCCCTTTGTCTTTTTTGGGGGGAGCATTGATGCAACCCCAGCTTGAGTTTTGTTGTGGTGCGCATCCCCTTCTTGGTGGCTGTTGCCCCCGCCCCCTGCCGGAACAAGTTGCGGTTGCAGGATGCAACAGCGTTCAAGCATCCAGATATCACGTGTGCCCGCGAAAACACCCAGCAAAAACCGGCTTGGGCTTCCGTTGGCCTTTTTGTTTCCGGACCATGAACACTGGGATACACCACCTACCAACCAGTGCCAAGTGGATTTTGTCAGAGAAGGACACCACACGAGCCGTCTCCCGCTCCGAGCGAGAGGCCTCTGTCTTCTGAAGGCCTTGGGTGGCAGCTAACGTCCAATCGGGCTGGATGCGCCAGTTGGGGTGTGCTAAAGGGAAACTAAAAGGAAACCACCCAACTTGGGGGTCCACTATTTTGAAACAAACTCATGTGTGATTCACCCTGTCTACCCCTGAAAGGGTGCTCAAAAAAAAATAGAAAACAAAATAGAGGGCAAGTGTGGTGCCCAAAAAATAGGTGAAGGAAGATTTATATGCATATGCGTATATTTTGAGGGAGAGAGGGTTGGTCATGCCCTACCTCGAGCTTTTGGAAGTAGCGATAAGGAGCAATAAAACAGCTCTTCTTCAAGCAGGGAACGAATTTTAGGCGGTCGCACTTCTATGCCTTGATGAGTTGTTCCAGTGGCCGCCCAATTTTCCGACTTTCATAGTTTCGTCACTTTTCAGCAAGAAACTACAAAGTGGCTTGCTACGGATCCTGTGCCGTGAAGAGGCAGCAAGGCCCTCGCTCACCCTAAACCGACCTAAACCCAGCTATATTCCACCGCAACTCCACCAAGTCAACTCTCCAATAACTTTCCACTAACCCTCCACCAACCCTCCACCAACCCTCCACCAACCCTCCACCAACCCTCCACCAACCCTCCACCAACCCTCCACCAACCCACCACCAACCCTCCACCAACCCTCCACCAACCCTCCACCAACCCTCCACCAACCCTCGCACAACCCTCCACCAACCCTCCACCAACCCTCCACCAACCCTCCACCAACCCTCCACCAACCCTCGCACAACCCTCCACCAACCCTCCACCAACCCTCCACCAACCCTCCACCAACCCTCCACCAAACAAACCCTCCACCAAACAAACCCTCCACCAAACAAACCCTCCACCAAACAAACCCTCCACCAACCCTCCACCAACCCTCCACCAACCCTCCACCAACCCTCCACCAACCCTCCACCAACCCTCCACCAACCCTCCACAGACCCCAAACCAACCCTCCACCAACCCTCCACCAACCCTCCACCAACCCTCCACCAAACCCTCCACCAACCCTCCACCAAACAAACCCACAAACCCTAAACCAACCCTCCACCAACCCTCCACCAACCCTCCACCAAACAAACCCACAAACCCTCCACCAAGCCTCCACCAACCCTCCACCAACCCTCCACCAACCCTCCACCAAACAAACCCACAAACCCTCCACCAACCCTCCACCAACCCTCCACCAACCCTCCACCAAACAAACCCACAAACAAACCCACAAACCCTAAACCAACCCTCAACTCCCCCCCCCAAACCCTTAGCCAGCGTCATAACCGCACCCACGGCACCCAGCAGCTGCCCCAGCGCCCTGGCAGGCGGCGCTTTCGGCAAGCGCTTCCTTCCGAGCTCATGGAGTGCCAAGGGGGCGTCAGATTCAACCCGCACGCGGGGTTGATGAAAAGGTCCCGTGAACATGGGACGACCAGCAAGAAAGCCACGCAAAAAAAAAGAGACTTTCACCGCTAAATGCGAAAAAGTTACCTCTTGTCATTTTGGGGCCAGGAGTATTGATCAACCTCATATACAAGTACCACCAATACAAGCTCGGGGGCCGGTATATACCCCTGATAGCGGTCATATAACCTTCCCTCCAAGACCCATACCTCAAGGGGATTGAAATCATGTCAATTCTACTTTGCACTTGATTGTCTTTTCGACCTCAACTCTATGACTTTGCACTTGCTCGAGGTTGGACTTTGGATGCCACGGTGGCGGAAAATCCGGAATGTTGAGGGCCACGTTCTAAATGCCAAGTCCACTTTGAGTGCTAAAGCATGTCAGAGATACGGCGTGGCAGGCAACCACTTGGGAATCAGAGCCAAATCCAACCTTGGTTAAAAGAAAGCACCTGGAAGATCAATGTTGAAGCGACCCCATGTCTGAAGAGTTTTTAGACCGTCACAAAGCGTTGTCCCGGATAGGACTTCAACCACCAGCAACAGCTGGTTTGTGTCGAGCCTTTCAACCACCATCCTTAAGGAGGTCCCTGATTTTAGCCGCAAATTGTATGATTCCGCAACCTGAAATATCCACCAAGTAAAGCACCTACATCATGGTATCATGGTGAGCTCGTTTTACCCCCAAGTGAGCTTGCAAAATAGGAACGACAGGACTTAGGAAACACCCGCACAAATGACTGGAAACACGGCCTCCCGCACGCCTCCAGCCGCTGCGCCTCAGCCACTCCTCGCCGTGGGAGCTCAAAGCCTTCACCTGAGAGGCAGCTCAGCTGGGATAAATGAAGCCCCATCCGCAGTAGAGGTTTGGAAAGTAAACCAAATGATGTGTAAATTCAGTCCATGGTGCCTCCTAGGATTGCTTGGCTTCCGGATAAAAAGTCGTGGGTGAGCATCCGTCTCTCTCTCGCTCTCGCTATCTTTCTCTCTACCTTGGTCTCACTTGTTTTTGTCCCGCAGCGACAGTTAGGAAGTCTTAGCCATTGGAACTTGAGAACGCCCCTATTGACCCCCTGACCTTAGCCCCAGGCTGATGGCATGTGCCCAGAACCGCCCCTCCCCCCCCGGCCCCAGACATTACCTGATTGTCTCCCTTTCGCTGGCTCTAAACATCACGTGTGTCAACTTCAAACCAGCTGCCTGTAAGGTGATGGAGAAAGAGGGGAAGGGGGCTTTTTGGAGAAACAAATCCCGGAACAGGACGGTGGTTGTTTCCTGAGCGCATAAGCGGGGGGTCCATTAAATGGCTTGAGAAAACAAAATCCAGGATCTCCCCCTCTCAAGTACACCAAGAGTGTGTCCATTCGGCACGCCAAACTACATCAACTCCCTGTGCAACACTCCAAAACAAGGCATGGTCTATGTTTCCGGGGGGGGGGGGGGCCAACCAGGGGCGCGCACCCAAGGATACACCTGGATACATTCCGCAGGGGTTCATGAAGAGGACATCCAAAGTGCCAACGAGTCCCTCAATCGATCTAAAGTCAACCCTCCAAGCTTGACCCCCCGGAACCTCGGCTTTTTCCATAAAAAAAATGACACCAAAGCCCAACAACGACCCACTGTTTCTATGTGTTGTTTCCGACCGAAAGGGGCAAACTACTCCTTCACGTTTAAAAACAAAACACCAAAGGCCAAAGAACGACCCCACGTCCCTCCAGGACCCAGGGACGCGTCCCGGGACCCGGAACCGGGGAACCGGGGTCCCGGCTGGCGGGGTGGGCCGGCCACTCCAGCTGAGCTCCCGCTGGAGGCCCTGCAACTCCCTGAGATCGCGCGAGTCCCATCGTATGGATCCAAAGGGAAGAGGGGCTCTGGCTTGGTTGTCTTAACCACACCACATACATGTGTATATATATATATATATATATATATGTACGTGTATATGTATATATATGCAAAATGCATACAATGTGCACATTATATATATATACATATTTAAATACACATATGCTCTGTTGTTTAGGATTTGAGCGGGGGCAATTTCACTGTGTTGCGGGGTATCCAGAAGCTGTGGATCATCGTGAATCTGGGTATGGAGTTTGGTGTCGGTTCGTACGCTTTGTGCAGGTCGACTTGAAGGAAGACCGAAGGAACATCGCCTGTTTTAGGGGCTCCACCTTGTTGAGACAGACCCAATATGCGGGAGTCCAGCCTTAAAGGGGCTTCCCTGGTTGCAGACATTGGTGGTGAAAGCAAGTCACTTCTCACAACAGGCCAGAACGTGGGGGTCGGTTGGGAGGTTGATTGATGGGGAGCCGGTGGGTGGAAAAAGGTTTGGGTGACAAAGGGTGGCTAGTTGGTAAAATGTGGCTTGGTGGGCCTGCAGGTCATCGCCAGGTCGATGGAAAATCAATGGCAAGATGATTGGCCTTACACCCTGTCCCAATAGTGTTTGCCTTTGTTCAAGCTGCCAGTCCATGCCAAGCAATATATCCTAGCTCGTTCCCAGAAATTGATGGGGCGAAACCTGACAATTCACCCACCTGAAGTCAAGATTTGGGCCGTATGAAGGAAATCGTCATGATGGATTTCATTCCTTTTGACTAGCCAAGGGTCCGGTTTTGGGTCACCCCCACGCCCGACTGAAATCCAGCGATGGTTGCCACAGGGGTGAAGTCCTTTCAGGAAATGACATTTCTCAAAACAGGAATTGTACCCCTTAAATGATTGGTTTCCTTTTGGTGTTTCTTTAAAACACAACCAAAAGTGCGACCACCATTCTGAGAAACTCCCAAAAGTGGAACTTGGAGGCTGCTACAGTGCCGTACGTGCACAACGCACTGTCGAAACTCTTCTTCTTCGGCGAATCTACCCAAGGGTTCACAAAGCTTGGTACTGACACCCTGGAAAAATACTGCCCATGATTATGCTCTGGGAGGTGTCTCAAAACTAGGGATTTCAAACATGTTTCTCAGACCTGGAACTGTTCGACCACTACCCCGAAGCACCAACCTCAAGGGAACCTGGAAAATGGCGAAGCAATTCGAACATGGTCCCAAGATTTGTCCCCGTCTTGAAAAGACAATGGGGAGGAAATACAAAACGTGGCTGCCCGTCTGGGTTGCGAACAAAAATCACGATCCCAATCCCTGACCATAATACTAATCAATACTAACCATTAAACCAATCTTAACTAATACCCAACAGGCTAAGCCAACCCTGAGCCAGCAAAGCTGCCAAATTCTTCATGACGCCCTTTCTGAAACCGCCGCCCGGAAAGTCCTACTATAATGAATGTTTAAGGGGGAAATAGAGAAAAGAGAACCTCTGGGCCAGAACTGAGGAACGCTAAACAAGTACCAACTCAATTTCAAACTACTACCAAACACCTTCAAAAACAGTACCGGGCCAGCTTGAAGGAATACTACAAACAGCTCTAAACCACTACTAAGCAGTTGCTGAGAGACTCCAAATACCCGGCCCAACTACTCACCCCACAACTTGCTCGCAGGGGCGGGAGGGCGCCTTTTGCGCATCTCCCGCATGAACCAGAGTCCTCTGATTATATAGGCCCCGGAAAAAAATGGGGCCCGTGGTTCCTGGGCGCATCAGTTGCGCAAATGCAATGGGTGTCATCGGTTGTTCCCAATGGCCCAAGGCCGGTGAGCTCTGCGTTTGCAGCGCCAGCTGTGCAAGTCTACTCCACCAGAGCTGCAGAAAAGGATTCTCTTGCTTCCTGGGAGCACGGCCTTACTGTGACCAACTCTGCCCTAAGAAAATTCTGGTTGACGCCTTCACACCTTTCCACTTGCCCAGCCAAAGGCTTGTGCTCTCAGGAAATATGGGAGTGACCCCTTCCAACCAGAAATAGGTCATGGTAAGGAATGGCTGTCGTATTTCTCTTCCTCCCTTAATTCCCCAAAGTATGCATACATGTATGTATATGAAAAAGGCTAAAATGACAGCTGCCCCGTTGGAGCAGGCGTTCGACCCTCCAAATCCTTGGACCGAGCCGCTGCAGGTTCCGCTGCAGCTGGCTAGGCATGGCGCTCAGGCTCACTGCTCACTTGTTGGTGGCAGAGGAAGTAGAAGGCAATCGTCATTGTTCATGTCCCCCTTTGACATGGAGGCATTTGGTTTTTGGGGGAAACCAATAGCAAACCAAAAGGGACATTGTTTGAGGCGTGTGGTTTTTGGCGGGTTTCGACGGAAACCAATAGCAAAAACCCAAAAAGGGAACATGTGTGTGTGTGTGTGTCCCTTGACTGCAGTGTTCCACGCTTTGTTGATTGCCGCACACGCAGGGATCGGATTGGATTCGAAGTGACATGTGCCTTTGACATGGCTCTTGGTGAGAAGCTCTCATAATTTGGTGAGCTCTCATAATTTGAGCGTACCCAATGTCGTTCCGTTTGTACCTTTAAAAAAAATGGACCCTTTCTGTCCAGTAGGCATGGCGGTGGGCTCCAAACATCGAGGACCCCCTCTTCGGATGCTCTTAAAAAACCAAAGGAGATCACCCTTTGAGGGGTCGCTGATTGAAGGACCTGCCTGAAACAAGCTCTGTGAAAGTGGTGTTTGAGTCGCTTCCTGGACATGTCTGCTACCAAGCATGATGCTGCCTACACATATCAGCTCCCCACTAGTTGGTGGTTTGGATTGGTGGTTTAGTGCTAGAGGGGTGGATTCCCGTTTACCCTCCACAAGAACTAGGGGTTCTAACTCCCGAAAGAATCCATCCAATCCGAGGACTGGTACCTGAGCATAGTTGACGCAAAATTGACAACAGTTTGTCCGGTGAGCGCCTGAAAGGGTCAAGTCGCTCACTGTCCAGCTCAGACCACTGGAAGCCCCTTGTCTTCAAGTGTATCTTACTGGTCTTTGCTGGTACTTTTGCATCGCTCTGCTCACATCGTTTCCTTCAGGACCAACCCATGTGTCTGGGCCCTTCAAGCCATAAGCAACCACGGATGCGGCCCCTTGTATCTGAGCTGCGCCGTCTGCCCGTGTCTGCAAACATCTCAATAAGAATCCGCACGAAGTCTCAAGGCAATGCAGGCCAAGACCACCCCCACAAGTCCGGCAAAGCAAAGCAAACATGCTGCACTCTCCTGTCCTCCTTGTCTCTGGGGCTTGAAGCTTGAAGATAACATGCTCTTGCTCGCTCTGTCGCTCTCTCTTGCTCTCTATCTATCTATCTATATATATATATATATGCATATATATATATATATATGCATGTATATATATATATGCATATATATATATAAATGCATATATATCTAGAGAGAGAGAGAACATTGTTCGTCTCCCTCCATCTTGCACCTTCGCCTCTCCCCTTCATACCACGTACTTCTCTGACAACCGCTCAATTCCCCATGCTCGCTCCCAGGGGCCGCTGCGGAGGCTGCGCTGGTGCAGTTGGCATCGGGCAAACCTGCCCGATGGCCCAAGGCACGACGACACGCGGCCAAGAAAGCGACCCCGGTGAGACTTTTGGTGGATCTCACTGACCCAAACCATCAAGGGACTATCCCAACGGATGGTTACAAACATGGACACGGCATCTTGAACATTGCTGTGCGGCTGCAAAATGTTCTCTGAGTGTCGTAGTGGTGGGGTGAGATGCAAACAGGATACAAAAGAAGCCCAACTAGCAACGCCCAACTTCCCGATTGCTTCCAACACCTCAAGCCGGACAGGAGTACATGAAAGTAACTGAGAAGGGTTGAGAGTACGCTTGTTGGCTTAAAGAGAACCAAGGGAAAACCCACCCACGCACACACACAATTTTGGGTGGCGCCACTCTTTTGACACAAAATCAACTCGGAACTTGGAGGGTCGAGGAAGCTTGCAGCTCGCCCCATGGGATGCTCAGCGCTGTCTCTCACTTGAGTGGATTGGCCAAAAAGTTTGTGTGAGCCACTAAAGTTGTTTCCCCTTAAGCAAAAAGTGCAGTCACTCACGAAGTGAGGTCTTGAGACTTTTGGACGAAACAGATACCAACTGGAAGCCTGTTTCTTGACCTAGAACGGGCTGGGAGGGCGCGTTTACGTCCTGTTGAACATTTACTTAGACCAAAGCCTACGGCCGTTTGACAGCCAGAACTTGCGCTTGCCTGGCTGTGGTGCGGGCAGCGGTTCCATGGCGGCAGGCGGCGATCTCCATTTGGAGACCCGCCTCTTAAAACCAGAGAAGCGCCCTCAGGGCTATTTCCAGCACTTGTTCCGTTTGAGGTAGGCTGACCCTGAGCTGGCTTTGCGCCCCCAAAGATCCTGCGAACAGCTTTTGCCAGACCGTCGGCTTTAAGATGGTGCGGCAACCTCTCAAAGTCCAACGCTGAAGCGAAACATGAGAGACATCCTGAGACCTTCGGGCCCAGCCCCCTGCGAGCCACGGGGGCTTTGGAAGCCAGACGCCACGGGTCCTAGTCCTCTCAAGAAGAATGTTTTCGTTGGTTGCCCAAAATAACTAGGACAGAAAAGGGGCCTTTTTTGACCACGCCACACGTGGCTATGTCTTTGTGTTATTTCATGCTTCTTGTTTCCCTTCTTTCTTTCTTTTTTTGGGGGCCGGGGGGTACGTAGCGTGCGACGTGGCACCAATCTTGTTGCAGAGGTATGCAACAGGGTCCTTGTTAGGCAGGTGTGTAGCGGGAAAACAGTGCTTGACAAGTGGCACAATGTAGCGCAGACATGCGGAACGCAAAGCGCAGCTCCGGCAACGAGCTCGACAAGTGCAACGAGGTACGCAACAACTATGTAACGAGGAATGTAACAAGCTGTAGCGCAGAAACAGCGATCTTTCTTCCGGCCAGGAGATCTTTCTTCCGGCCAGCGCTCTGCAAGTTGATTCTTGACAGGAAGGTCCAGGGAAAGCATGCCCTGTAAAAGTCTGCTCGGCAGGCTCTCGGGGGAATCACTCCGCAACAAGGCACACGCAGGCTTTGTTAATGCGAAATTTGTTACGAAGGCAACGAGAGGTATGTAGCGAGCCAGCCGGTCTTGTTGCATAGGGTATGTAAAGGGACGCGGCTCTTTTGCAGACCCTCTAAAAATGCATTGGCAAATGAAGGTCAAGGAAGCCCTGTCAAGGCTAGTTTGAAAGGCAAACCCAACGGACACCAATCACCCGCAGGCCCCCTAACTAAATGGTGGCTTTGTTTTGGTTGCCCTCTAAACCAACCTTAAGAAGGGGGCCTTTCAAAGCACGCAAAGCGGGCGAATACCCTTTTTTGCGTCATGCGCGCACTCCACCGTGGGAGTTGGCATCAATGCCCCGCACGGGAACACACGCGCACAGCTGGGAGCTATTTGCGCGACGGCCGTGCAAACAGACGCCGCGCAGACCTGTATTCAGCTTCCATGCCTCCAAGCCCTGTAAAGAAAGGATGGGATTAGCTTCCCCCAACTACCAATTGCCCCCGACCTGCCCACTCCCAAACTCCACCTGGCTTCACAGTTTCAGGCTTGAAACGGAGATCTCTACTCCTCCGGCGGAGTCCAAGGCTCCAGCAGCTCCTTGGGATGTGCTCATGAGACCCAAAATCGTTTTCCCTTTTGCCCGGTAGGGAGACACACTTGAGATATCCAAGGCGAAATGTCTGGAAATGGAAGCCCAGCCTGCCTTTTGGGCTCTTCAATTCTTGTCTTGGTTCTGCAAAAGGAGTTGGGTCTTCAAGAGAAGGGTCTGAAGCGACGCCCGAAAACAGTCAAAGAGCTGGTGCTGCAATGCACCCATCTGCCCCGTCCCTCCCCCAGCTGCCCGTTCAAATCCGAGGGGCCGCCAAGGTCCCGTCGGCGTCCGCCGTGTCCTTCCCCCGGCACAGCTCCTCCTTGAGCCGCTGCATGCTGAGCCAGTGCCTCGGTCCGATGTCTGGATTCGACGTCCATGCAAAAAAATCACTGGATATCTTCCAGCTTGTTCACTTTGAGGGGGGCCCTCAAATACATGTAGAGGTGGTTGTTGGAAGTATCCCACCCCAAGAAAGGCATGAGACTACGAAAAAAGGCCGCATGACGATTATGCTCTTGTCATTTGTGATGGGCACGGTCATGGCGGTAACTGGGCAACACCCCCAAAAAACTGGCCCGATGCCCTGCTTCTCGCCTGCCCAAAGCCGGCTTCTCCCGGTCGCCTATGCGGAAAGCCTTGCGGTCGAAACCCAAAAGGTCGAAACCCAAAAGGTCGAAACCCCAAAGGTCGAAACCCAAAAGGTCTCCAGGTCGGCAACTTTCTTCTGAATGCTTGGCCTGAGGGCTGAGGGGCGGCAAACCTGCGAAGTTGAAGCTTCAGAAACCGAAGCTCCGATCTCTCGCACTGAAGCTCGGAGTTGTCCAAGGCACATCGCGGCCAAGTTCGAAGTCTCGAAGGGATCTTCGACGTTGGGTCCTCTCCCGAGCCGCGAGACGCGAGATCCTGAAAAGACCGCCGACCACTGCCCGAGTTCGGGACACCCCTCACGCATCTCTCTCAGACTGCCACCAGTTCCTCGTCACTTGGTTCCGTAGGTGTCCAATGTGAACAAATAGTGACCTCAAAAATTGGGGGGGAGGTTCGCAACCTCCGCCATGATGAATCTTCCTTTGATGGGGATCTTTTCCTTTTTGTTGGTGAGCTATACTTACCAACCTCCACAACGAAGTGAGACGGGTTCTCGATGTTGGGGGTTTGAGCCGTGCTGTCCTGGTTGCGTTTGGCCATCCAGCTGCAGCATCGGGCCGCCGGAAACAGCCACGGGGCCTTGGCCGGCCGGCTCGCACAAGGCCAAGCCAATGGTCGCAAGTCGCAAGTATGAACTGGGCTGTCCCCAGATCCCCCGCTAAAAGTTTAACCTTTAGTGGATTGAATGGACATCCCCACTAACCACTAAAAAGCTAAAAAGCTATCGGGATGGCTGAGAGCCACCAAGTGAAAATATGTTTTAGGGGCAATAAAACTGTGCAGTTTCAAGGTTGACTGAAATCCTGAATGCGTCGATGCACCCTACCAACCCAGCGGGTGTAGTGCCTGTGGCACATGTGCGTGTGTGTGTGTGTGTGTGTG